GCATTCAATCATTTTTAGTTTTCCTTTATTTTGTAAATATTTTGTGTACATATATTTGTTTAATTATATTTTCTTGTATTATAACAAGGTTTTAGTTTATTAAAAGTGGGGACCTGATATCTCCGGCTGTAGAGCTACGCAGCATCTCCCGGTGAACCTGAACCATAGGCAACCAACCATACAGTGTTGTATGGGTGAACAGGAGGGGGTTTAGGAATGGGAGATTTTTTTGGAGGTCCTTGGGTTACCAATAGGCAAAGGGTAGTTTGTAACCCTTAGGACCGTTACAAAGTGGCGCCCGAGCAGTTTAAAGAAGAGAAAAGTACATGCAAGTAAGCTATTAACAATTAAAACTATTCTAGCTTCCAAAAAGGATTTGTGTAATTTTCCAGTTTGAATTTAATTTTGTTTTCCAGGATAATTTTTATTTCTTTTAGTTTTCCAGAACCTGTAATATAGTTAGTTAATTAGGGAATAGTTACATACGTACCACGATATGCCAGGAGACGAACCTCAGGCGGAGAAAATGGAACCCGAACCAAAGATCGGGTGGGTCTACACAAAGAGGAAGGAAGAATTAATCGCAGAATTAGACGATAGGGGAGTGAAGTCCACTGGTACAGTCGAGGAGTTGAGGGCCAGGTTAATACGGTATATTCGTGATCCACTGGGAACTGCAAGTGACCTAGAACCAGAAGAACATAAGGAAAAAGAATCCATAACTTCAAAAGGAACAATACCAAAAACCAGGTATGAGACCACTTCCAGATCAGAGAGACATCAGCACACAAGGGAGCCAGGGCAAGTGCCAGTGGGTAAACCAACAGCTGCAGAACTAAGTGATAAGGTGCGGAAGTGGGGAGTTAAATTTGATGGTACTGGTGATCCAATATCATTCCTAGAAAGGGTGGAAGAATTAAAAACTTGTTATGGATTCGAGAATGAAGATTTATTAAGAACCTTACCGGAAATGCTAAAAGGTAAAGCGTTGCTTTGGTACAGGAACCACAAAGATGGGTGGAGAAATTGGGCCGATGTCGTCGATAGTGTCGAGATATACTTCCTTCCATACAGGTATCGATTTAAGCTGGAGGAAGACATCCGAAACAGAATTCAACGGCCAGGGGAAAAGGCAGCAGACTACATCACGGACATACTCACATTAATCCGAAGGCAGGGAGAAATGTACTTCACGAGGGTAGATGAACCATGGGAAACGGTGAGCATAGACTTAATTGGTCCATTCCCCAGGTCCAGCAAAGGGAACTGTTATGCGATCGTTTTCCAAGACAAGTTCACTAAGTGGGTGCAGATAAAGGCCATAAGAAAAGCAACCAGTGCAGTGTTAATCAGACAGTTTCAGGAAAACATTATTTACCAATTTGGCAGTCCGAGGACGGTGATATCAGACAATGGATCCCAATTCACAAGTCAGGCTTTTAGAAAGGTGTTGAAGGAATGGGGAATAAAACAAAGATTAACGCCACCATATACACCCCAGGCTAATCCGGTAGAAAGAGCTAACAAGGTGGTGGGTACTATGATAGCACAGGTGACAAAAGGGGAAGCTAAGAAATGGGACACTACGTTGGCGGAAATAGCATTCGCAATGAATACGGTAAGACATAATTCCACTAAATTTAGTCCAGCATTCCTGAACTATGGGCGAGAACTCCTACCAACAGGCACATTAATTAGGGAAGTGAAATCAAAGCAGGAAGGCGAGGAGTTACAACCTGAGGAACATGAAGAAAGGATGGGAAAAGTACAGGAGATGAGACAATTGGCCAGGGAAGCACTAAGTAAGGCGTTCGAGGAACAAAGAAAACCATACAATTTGAGAAGAAGGCCTTATAAACCTAAAGTGGGTGAGTTGGTATATTGCAGGGAGCATATATTGTCGGATAAAGCAAAAGGAATTTCGAATAAACTAACACCAAAATATGATGGGCCATATGAAATAAAACGAATTATATCTCCTGTAATTGTGGAATTGCAAGGTAAGAAGAAAAGAGGGGAATATCTAAGAGTACATGTCAAAGATATTAGGGTGATGGGTCAAGACATTGATGATAATCTGATACATTCCATACCAATAGAAGAGATGGTAGAAGGAGGGGCATTGAACACAGTACAAGAGAAGGAAACCAAGCAGGGAAAAATTAGTCAAGTCGAGATGGCACCGGTAAGAAGGACAAAGAAAGACAAGAAGAATGAAGGACGGTCAGGCAGGCAAAGAAAGGTGGATGTAGAAGAATTAAATCAGAAAATGAAGAGGTTATTTGGGAGCCCTTACAGCCCGTATAAGGGAAAGGAAGGAGGCGGTGAAAAGAAGACACCAGAAATAGTAAGCCAGATATATCAAAGCAACCAGGGTTCCACTCCATCTCCAATGGTAGATTGGCCAACACTGCCAACACTGCCCACTCCGGACAAAGAATTACAAGAAATTTGGGAAGCACCAATGGAATGGGGGAAAATTCCAAGCGGCGATGAGGGGACCAAAATGGAAACTTTGGGGATACAACCACTTCTGGAACAACCCGCAAACCAAATACTAGAAAGCAGGGGTAAACCAAGGTCGATGGGGAAGGTGAGTGGAAGTGGAGAAACATTGGGAGACACGAAGATACTAAGTAGAAGAATGAAGCGGAAAAACAGAAGAAACAACCGAAGGACAGCCATCCTCGTTGCACCGGGTCAAAGATTATACCTGAAACGACAGGATGCGGTGGCACTAGGTCTAGCCAAACCGGTCTAGTCCCAGGAAGGGGTGGTATGTAATGATGTGAAATGTTATAAGATTAATTTGTAATTTGATTCCTGTAGGAATTGGAAATTAATCTAGATTTCTATCAGGAGAGGGCGGTAGTTTCAAAGACGTCATGTTTGTGGACATTCCCACCAGTACGATTACCATCACCATTACATTCCCACTTCCTTCCACAGACTATATAAACAGAAACCAGACCAGAAAGGGGACTCGTCTTAGAATTGTTTACCTGATCCTAAGAAATTCTTTCCTGTTTCCTGGTCAGGCGTTAGCGATTGTGAATCGCGCTCTGACACCCGCCCCGTTGAATAATTTACCTCAGACGTGCCGGTTGTAGTACCGCGCTCTGAAACCCTTCCTGAATTAAAAGTGTACGGCCGTATAGCCGTGCCGTTAATTTGGGTTACCTGTCTATCCAGTACAAAGAGGTGCAGGTCGTATGACCGCGCTCTTCCTGTTACCATCCGTGGAAAAAGTATACGGCTGTATAGCCGTGCTCAGAATTAGGTTATCCCTGTGGTGAAATTTCGGTAGACGCTGCGAATGTAAATTCGCGCTCGACTGGAACCAGCCTTCCTGTAATATACCCCGAATATTGTTGTACTTGGGCTTATAACGTAAAACTTACTTGATTTGTATTGATCCCGTGTAAAGTTAAATCATAGAAGTTGTCTTTGAAACTACCTACCGGTGTTCATACTGGAAGCTAACGTGATATCATTTACAGATTAACAAAACTACCACGAGTGTCAATTGTCCCGGTTGACCCCTCCTACTTGGGTCGCATTCAATCATTTTTAGTTTTCTTTATTTTGTAAATATTTTGTGTGTACATATATTTGTTTAATTATATTTTCTTGTATTATAACAAGGTTTTAGTTTATTAAAAGTGGGGACCTGATATCTCCGGCTGTAGAGCTACGCAGCTAACTCCCGGTGAACCTGAACCATAGGCAACCAAACATACAGTGTTGTATGGGTGAACAGGAGGACGTTTAGGAAAGGGAGATTTTTGGAGGTCCTTGGGTTACCAATAGGCAAAGGGTAGCCTGTAACCCTTAGGACCGTTACAAAGTGGCGCCCGAGCTGTTTAAAGAAGAGAAAAAGCACATGCAAGTAAGCTATTAACAATTAAAACTATTCTAGCTTCCAAAAAGGAATTTCGAATAAACTAACACCAAAATATGATGGGCCATATGAAATAAAACGAATTATATCTCCTGTAATTGTGGAATTGCAAGGTAAGAAGAAAAGAGGGGAATATCTAAGAGTACATGTCAAAGATATTAGGGTGATGGGTCAAGACATGGATGATAATCTGATACATTCCATACCAATAGAAGAGATGGTAGAAGGAGGGGCATTGAACACAGTACAAGAGAAGGAAACCAAGCAGGGAAAAATTAGTCAAGTCGAGATGGCACCGGTAAGAAGGACAAAGAAAGACAAGAAGAATGAAGGACGGTCAGGCAGGCAAAGAAAGGTGGATGTAGAAGAATTAAATCAGAAAATGAAGAGGTTATTTGGGAGCCCTTACAGCCCGTATAAGGGAAAGGAAGGAGGCGGTGAAAAGAAGACACCAGAAATAGTAAGCCAGATATATCAAAGCAACCAGGGTTCCACTCCATCTCCAATGGTAGATTGGCCAACACTGCCAACACTGCCCACTCCGGACAAAGAATTACAAGAAATTTGGGAAGCACCAATGGAATGGGGGAAAATTCCAAGCGGCGATGAGGGGACCAAAATGGAAACTTTGGGGATACAACCACTTCTGGAACAACCCGCAAACCAAATACTAGAAAGCAGGGGTAAACCAAGGTCGATGGGGAAGGTGAGTGGAAGTGGAGAAACATTGGGAGACACGAAGATACTAAGTAGAAGAATGAAGCGGAAAAACAGAAGAAACAACCGAAGGACAGCCATCCTCGTTGCACCGGGTCAAAGATTATACCTGAAACGACAGGATGCGGTGGCACTAGGTCTAGCCAAACCGGTCTAGTCCCAGGAAGGGGTGGTATGTAATGATGTGAAATGTTATAAGATTAATTTGTAATTTGATTCCTGTAGGAATTGGAAATTAATCTAGATTTCTATCAGGAGAGGGCGGTAGTTTCAAAG